TCTGATTATTCAATACTCTATCTTGTGTCATTATGGTCTTATCCATTCATTGTCAAAGCTGAGAGACTCACCTAAAATAATATAAAGTGGCCCACCCCATCCCCAGATAGAGTGGTTTGTCAACAACAAATAAAGAAATTTGGTTAGCTATGAGGATTTGGTTGCATTATACCGCTTCCCCAATTGCAGACTTCCTATTCTCCTTTTCCCAACCCTTACACAGATGGATTAACTCTGAAATAGATCAAAAAATAAAAGTAAGACTTACATACACACCACTTAGTTTTTATGTATTAACATATCTACTTCCTAAACTACAATTTTCACATACATGCCACCCTATCTATGAACGGAAATGTGTATATTTTATTTCACTTTTTAGAAATTAAAATGGTGGTATTTTTTATTTGATGTGAAAGGTTAGGTGTTAGATATATTAATTTATAGAAATTGGGTGGTATGTATTTAAATGCCCCAACATAGAATTATAATATATGTATATTTTACGATTGGGGCCTAGCAAATAAGGGTCTGTTTGGGGCAGTATATGTGTTTCAGGATAAGCTGCTTATCCTGAAACGCGGCCCGTGGGCCGGTCACAGGGGTCGACTCGTGGCCTAAATTTAGTGTAAAAACCCAAACGCAGTTTCAGATAAGCTGGCGAAACGCGCGAACCAAACGGTACAGTGGTGTTTTGAAAACGCCACCCGCACTTATAAGCTGCCCCAAACGGACCCTAAACCAGAAATAAAATGGGGAAAACATATCAGGTTATAATGGGAAATGTGGCAATGAAACTTTGAAAAAAATCTTATTTCAGAATTCCTCATCAAAGCAGAAACTGGTAAAATATGTGAATTAACTTGTGAGGCTTCAAAACAGAAAATAAGGTTGGTTGTTAGCACATTTGCAAACAGCAAGCCAACTTATGCCAAAACCAATCTCAGCCATGGAAAAATTTAATGTGGTTTATAAGTAAAGTTCAAATAGTTGCGAGAAAGTAAAGAAAAAAAAGGGGCATTTGCATACATAGCACAGAATTCTTATGTATTTACATATTTCACACCAAAACTCTCATTTTTACACACACAATACTATATCCACTTTTTTTAAGTGAAATACACCTTTTCACAATACACACAATACTAAAGTTTTGAGTTTAGATAAGTAAATACAAAAGAATTTTGTGGCATATCTGACCCTGGATGTTCTGATTATATTTACTGCAGCCTGGAGAGATTACATACGAATTGCCTGGGCTTCTCAAGTAAATATTTTATCATTTCCATTCATTTGCCCCTTAATGAGATTGCATGCCGTCAGTTAGTCATTTACATTGCATAAAATTGTATTCAACAAGAAATATGTAAGAATAAGTCTGGAAGGGACATGTATAGTATTGGGTACAAAAAAGAAAGAAAGGGGCAGTTACATACATACCATGCAATTCTTATGAAATATGAAAGTTTAGGTGTTAGATATGTTCATACATAGAAATCCTGTGGTATGTATGCGAATTTCCCAAGAAAGAAACACAGGGAACTTACCCATGGATTATTGCTTCCTTTTAAACTGAACCTTTATTAGATATGTAAATACAAAAGAATTGTGTGGTATATCTGACCCTGGATGTTCTGATTATATTTACTGCAGCCTGGAGAGATTACATACGAATTGCCTGGGCTTCTCAAGTAAATATTTTATCATTTCCATTCATTTGCCCCTTAATGAGATTGCATGCCGTCAGTTAGTCATTTACATTGCATAAAATTGTATTCAACAAGAAATATGTAAGAATAAGTCTGGAAGGGACATGTATAGTATTGGGTACAAAAAAGAAAGAAAGGGGCAGTTACATACATACCATGCAATTCTTATGAAATATGAAAGTTTAGGTGTTAGATATGTTCATACATAGAAATCCTGTGGTATGTATGCGAATTTCCCAAGAAAGAAACACAGGGAACTTACCCATGGATTATTGCTTCCTTTTAAACTGAACCTTTAACTTTTATCAGAATTACTTGAATCTCACATTTGTACTTGTAATGTGAATGATGGAAAAGATAATTTTAATATATAAATTAGATTGGTATGCATAATTATCCATTAAAAAAATTTATTTGCCATATAAGTTTTTAAATTCATTTGCTATATTATCGAGGCGAATATGAACAAAATTTGTGAGCTCAACTTTCAAATGAGCCTTATCGTTTCCAATATCATAGGATGCTCCATTTTAAAAGCTAGCTACTTTGAAAAGGAATCTCTTTAAAGTGTGAATAAAAGATAATTTTAGTAATACTAAAGTAAACCATATAAGATGATATATCAAAATAGCAACATGATTTTCTTTATGATACTGTAGCCAGATTTTTCCAGCTCAAAATAAAATGTAACTCAACAATTTTGCTTGTTTTCTGGTTTTTTATAATCTTCTGTTTGAAATAGTCATTTTAACTGTCTTATAATGGAGATATTGGTTACATCCTTTTGCAAAGGGATAATGTACATGCCTAGTATGTAATACCTCAAAATTTCACAATGGGTATTAGAAAATTTCTCCCCAAAAGATTTATACCCTATTTTTCAAACATCACAAGTCCAAATCATTTTCTTATTAAATGTTATATTTTATTTTGATCATTATAATACATAAAAGTAACATAATTGATTTTGTATATTAACAATTATTAAATAATTTGCTATTAAAATTGTTTCCTATTTTTTTTCTATAAAATTAACTTCATAATTCCTAAGTATTTCTACAATGGCAAAGCATGCCACCGCTGCGATGGTATATTGTTTCTGGTAGATCTTCCAGAATATAGCACCTTGGGGTCATAAATCTGTGCATGAAAATGTATATATCACTTTTAAAAAGATGGGAGTGCTATTTTTGATGTGATGTTAAGGATTTTTAATGGTATGTTTGTAATTGTCAATATTTAGGTGTTACATAAGCACAGCTTTTATGGGCGAATAACACAGCTATTGAAACATATGGGTTATGAATTACTATTTAAGTACTTAAGATTTAGTCTCTTCTCCTCTCCCAAATGAATATTTCACAAATGAAGTTTTTGATGATACACCATAAGAAGAAAAGTTCTTTTGCAAGTAAAGGTCTAATGACAACTTAAGATCCATTTTGTAGGTTCTACAAACCTGCTTTATAACTTCTAATTTGTCACTCATTCTCGCTAATTAATGTGTTAAACCTCATCTTCATAGATTATTTAGAACTTATACTCTTTTTATGTTAGATCTATCATTTCTTCTTAATCATCTAAAATTAATTTTATCTACTCCACTTTTAACTATACTATCTTCAATAGATTTCACTCAAATCACTACTCTAATACAATCATTCAAATTTTTATTGCAAATTTATTCTATTAATATTATTTCTGATATGCTCTTAATTTAAAGGTCAATAGCTATAGCTATTCTAACCTCCCAACACTCTAATACATACAACATCATTGGCATAATTTGTTTTATAAATATTAATTTTTAGTCTCCCATATATCATCTTCTTATCGTGTAATACTCCTAAAATACATTTAGCCATGCCTTCTTAATTCTATGAGTTAAATCATCATCTATATCATCGTTCTTATGTATAATATATTCCATGGATACTACATCCACGGTAGTTAAAACTATCACATCTAAAATATTATTTTATCTTCTAATAATTTTATTTGATAATTATATTATCAAGTCCATTTAAATTGCATATCAAATACTTGAAACTTTTTCTACTAATTCTAATTCTTCTATTTTATAAATATCCAATTTATTGAATTTTCCAGATTACTCCATTTTTGGCAGCATAAAATGTTTGTGAAATACCTCCACGCAGAAGAGCATAGAATCACAGAACAACTCAAATGAATGCTACAACATTGCCCTACATGATCTCCACAGTATTTACAAACTTTAAATGAAGAAATTGGGCAAACTAAATTGGTTATAGAGCTCAATTTGGTGAATTTTTTATTTTGGGTCAATTTAGGGTTAATGGGTTTGGGGTT